GTCAACATTTGAAACATGGAATAATCCCATATATAATATTGGTTGACAGCCCTACCACGTCAGAGCCAGGAGAGTTTGGCCTCCGGGTTTTACACTGAGAACAAATATCTTTTTCAACATGTTGAAGATTCAACATTGTGGTACAAAGACCGACGGGTGACATCACATTGACTACATCAACTTCTTTGTATTGTCTTTGTACAATAACGTATTTTATAAAAGTACAATATAAACCTTAAATACAGGTAGCATAAAGTAAGCTACCTGTTACCTGTGATGAGACGACTACGTGCCAATGATTACATGCATAGTGCAAGATGCACGATGAACACGTGCGCTGTCAGTGTCACTTGTTAACCACCGACCAGAAGACAGAAAAGCATCATTCACACGCTGAGCGATGAGTCTTTGCTGTGACAGATTCCCCTCGTCATCCTCAGCCACCTGATTCCATCTCACACACAGATCAGTTGTATCAGTGGCAGCTCGTCCTCCTTTAAAACCATCACTGACTTTCCTGGAGAGAACTCAGCTGAATGGATGCTGTTATTTCGTCCTCTTGCACGTGCGCGCGCGCGCGTGTGTGTGTGTGTGTGTTCGAAGCCTCGACACGAACGTCACGTGACTAATTATGACCCACCGAGATGTCACGAGGACATTCGCGCCGAGGCTTCGAAGCTCGTGTCGAGTAATCCAGGAAGAGTTCCACGAAGCGCGTGTCGAGGCTCGTGTTGATGACGTATGTGGTGACGTTCGAAGCCTCGCGAACCGGCCGCACCACGTGACTGATTCAGGAAGTGGTTCGTGCGTCTGGCGCGCGACTCGAAATAAAAAAAACGGGCGGCGAAACGCAGTGAGTCCCCGGCTACATTTGGTGCACTTCGGACTTTATTGCGCGTTTGTTTGCAAACTATTCGAGCTTATTTTTTCTGTGATGGAACCAGCAGGAAAGAGGAGACTTAATAACTAGTAAATAATTACTGTGAATAAATCTGACACCGCGTATCGCTTGTTCTAACGTCTTTCTTATTTCTGGTATTTTAAAAGGTGAAGTGTCTGTTGTGTTGAAGGGAGCTTGGATACAACAACAACACGTCATCTATGCTGAGGCATTATAGAGGCCTGCATGAGGACAAGGAGACCCACCAAGGTGGACCAAACCTTGGACGTTTGGAGAACCCCCTGGAGTGTTGAGAAGAACATCAGAAAAGATTATCAAACGTGTATGAACTTGCTGTGACTTTTCTACGTACCCCAGCTTCATCTGCTCCACGAGAAAGGGTTTTCTCTAAAGCACGTGGAATATCAAATAAATGAAAATATTCCATTTTGTTCCTAGTAACATGAGCACAAACACAAACCAAGTAAAATAAGTAGAGGCACAAACCAAGAAGTCAATACGTATTTGGCAGTGGCTCAATGGCTCAATTCTTTTCTTTTTTTAAACTTTTCACATCACAACCCTCTCCCCAATTTGTTTCCATTTCCCCCTTTGACGCCGCCATTGTATCATAAAGACAGACAGCATATTAATACGTTCATAAGTCATTCATTCATTTATTCGATTCAATGGTTCACACAGCAAAGCCGTGGTGTCGTTTCATTTATTGTCCACTTGATGGCGCAGTAGAGCAAATGAAGCACCGTGACGCTTCGGCCCACGTGTGACACAATTCAGGAATCAGGAAACATTTATTACCAAAAGATGCCAAACATAGAAAGGAATTTGTCTTGGCGGTTGGTACGCGACAGTAGACAGACAAGACAGCAGTGCACAAGTAATAAAATAAAGTAAAATGAAATGCTAATGCAATGGGTTAGTAGAATAAGGCTATGGGTTAGTATAAGGGAATAAAGTTACCAATTTTAAATATTAAAAAAGTAAAAAAATATATATATATTAAGCATAAAGTGCACTAACGAACAATTAACAAAGTGACGAGTGACGACAAAGTGATAAATCACAGTTAAAGTGGCATGTGCAGTGTGAAGGGAAGTAACCGGTGGAATGTTATAGTCAGTCAGTGGGGGACCGGCTCTGTTGATGAGCCGATGGGAAGAAACTGTTCGTGTGGCGGGAGGTCTTAGTCCTGATGGACCTCAGCCTCCTCCCAGATGGAAGGGGCACAAACAGTTTTTGTCCGGGGTGAGAGGGGTCGGCCACGATCTTTTTAGCACGCTTCAGAGACCTGGAAGCGAACAAGTCCTGCAGGGACGGCAGATTGCAGCCGATCACCCTCTCTGCAGAGCGGATGACACGCTGCAGCCTGCCCTTGTCCTTGGCTGTGGCTGCAGCGTACCAGACGGTGATGGAGGAGCAGAGGATGGACTCGATGATGGCCGTGTAGAAGTGGATCATCATTGTCTTTGGCAGGTGGAATTTCTTCAGCTGCCTCAGGAAGAACAACCTCTGCTGAGCCTTCTTGGTGATGGAGCTGATGTTCAGCTCCCACTTGAGGTCCTGGGTGATGATGGAGCCCAGAAAACGGAAGGAATCCACAATAGTGACGGGGGAGTCACACAGGGTGATGGGGGAGGGTGGGGCTCTGTTCCGCCGGAAATCTACAACCATCTCCACTGTCTTTAGAGCGTTGAGCTCCAGGTTGTTCTGACTGCACCAGGACACCAGATGGTCAGACTCCCACCTGAAGGCGGACTCGTCCCCACCAGAGGTCAGTCCAATGAGGGTGGTGTCATCCGCAAACTTCAGGAGCTTGACGGACTGGTGACTGGAGGTGCAGCTGTTGGTGTACAGGGTGAAGAGCAGAGGGGAAAGAACGCAGCCTTGGGGGGAACCGGTGCTGATGGTCCGAGAGGCTGAGACATGTTTCCCCAGCTTCACGTGCTGCTTCCTGTCAGACAGGAAGTCTGTGATCCACTTGCGGGTGGAGTCGGGCGCGTGCAGCTGGGAGAGTTTGTCCTGCAGCAGAAACGGGATGATGGTGTTGAAGGCAGAGCTGAAGTCCACAAACAGGATCCTGGCATAGGTTCCTGGGGAGTCCAGATGCTGGAGGATGTAGTGGAGGGCCATGTTGACAGCATCGTCCACAGACCTGTTGGCTCTGTAGGCGAACTGCAGGGGGTCCAGGAGGGGTCGGTGAGGGACTTCAGGTGGGTCAGGACTAGCCGTTCAAAAGTCTTCATGACTACAGAGGTCAGGGCGACGGGCCTGTAGTCATTGAGTCCTGTGATCCTGGGCTTCTTGGGAACAGGGATCATGGTGGAGGCCTTGAAGCAGGCTGGTACGTGGCATGTCTTTGGATAAAAGCGTCCGCTAAATGACATGTAATGTAATGTAATGTCTCCAGGGAGATGTTGAAGATGTCAGTGAACACCGGAGACAGCTGGTCAGCACAATGCTTCAGGGTGTGAGGGGAGACTGAGTCCGGACCGGCTGCCTTACGGGGATTTTGTCCTTTAAAGAGCCGGTTAACGTCTCTCTCCAGAATAGAGAGGGTCGTTGCTGGTGGGGGAGGGGAAGATGATATAGATGAAGAGGCGTGAGCACCTGATGGGCTGGGGGAGGGAGGGGAAGGGGACTGCAACAGGTTGGTGGAGCTGTGGGGGATGGGATCAGGACATTGTCTTTCGAATCTGCAGTAGAACTCATTGAGCTCGTCTGCCAGGCGGAGGTCATTCATGGAGTGGGTTTTTTTTGGCTTGTAGTTAGTGAGGTGTTTGAGGCCTCTCCAAACCGAAGCAGAGTCACTTGCTGAGAACTGTTGTTGGAGTTTCTCAGAGTACAGTCGTTTAGCATCTCTCACCGCCTTGCTAAACTTGTATTTTGCCTCTGTGTACAAGTCTCTGTCCCCGCTCCTAAATGCCTGATCCTTTTGCAGGCGTAGTGTTCTGAGTTCCGCTGTGAACCAGGGTTTGTCGTTGTTGTAACTCACCTTGGTGCATGATGGTACACAGCTGTCCTCACAGAAGCCGACGTAGGAAGTTACAGCCTCTGTGAGCTCATCCAGACTGTCAGTAGCTGTCCTAACAACAAAAAACGAAGCGCACCGAAGCACCGTGGCGGCCATCAACGGCGCCATCTTGGATTCCAATTGGATGGAAAGCTTCAATGCTTCATAAAGCTTCATCTCGCCATCACTAATTATAATACGCACTTTAGACACTTCATCCTGTCGCTGATTGTGATCAGGAGCAGGTGTGTTGGCCCGAGGAACTGCAACTCCTCCACCAGCAGGACTCACAAGGAGGAGTTCATGACACCATTGCTGTGATCTATTCCTGTTTATTTAGAAAGAAACATCAGCAGGACAAATACTTCACGTACAACTTTTTATCAAAGACTATATGTGGCCAGTTAAATAATTCAGCTTTAAGACACTTAACTGTAGTGACTACTTTAACTATTTCAAAGATAGTTTAATTTTAATTTGATTTAAAATATTTTTAGATGAATGTTACTAATATGATGCAGGAGGAGCATGTGGACACACGTTCCTGTAATCTCTAGTATTTATTTAATTAAAGAAATGACTGTAGGAAACACTGCTTAGAGCTGCAAGTTTATTGATGCATAAAATGATTAAACATTACAGAATGTATTAAACACAAACAGGTGAAGATAAAATACAAACATCATCTGTTAAAACTCTTAACACAAAGATGAACTTAAATGTGTCAGGATGGGCGGGGAAGGCAGGACTCAAGAGCAGAGTTTCAAAAACAAAAATACTTAATAGTCGAAAATTCCAGAAGCGAAAATACCAAGGAGCAAAAACGCAGACAGGAACCGGGAACACTGACATAGACTTCAAGACATTCAACAGTTACAAGAGACACACACAGCTTAAATACCCTAGGGAGGTGCAGGTGATTGGACACAGGTGGAAACAATCATGACACGACAGAAAAGCACAGGGGAAGACAGGACAAAGCAGGAAGTGAAGTTACCAGGGAGACAAGAGGCAATAAACTACAAAATAAAACAGTTAAAACTCTTAAAAAGACAAAGATCAACTTAAATGTTGGAGAAATATGTTTTTCAATAACAGATTAAATGTGTAATAAATGCGTTTTTTTATCAGAAATAAAAAAATAGGACTTTATATTGAATAATATCAACGAAGTACTGAAGCTCAAAGCTCAAATATCAGGAAGGAAGAAGTTCCCACAATAATTACAATTACTCAGATGTGGTTTTTCATGTCGTCATCCGTTCCCCTGGTTCTGTCCATGCAGATGTTTTTAACCATCTGAAAAAAGAGATTAAAGGTTATTTAAGTGCTGGTAGTAATACACAAGTACACTCAGATTGTACTACATGGTGTGTTGTACCTGAAGTACCTGCAGCTGTTTCCATCCTCACATTTTCATAATCGCTCTCCTCTGGTGCATCATTCGTCCCTGTTAGAAGGATCAGATGAATGCATGAAGAGACACTTTATTCTCCTTTATTAAAGCTCTGCTGGCCTACAAAAGCATCTCAACTACTGCAGCTTGTTCCCTTATAGAAGTATTCACATGAACCATCAATGTCTTTAAGCTCAAACACAGAATCTGTGACATCATCGATACACTTTGTCTTTAATTTAAAGGACGGTCAACCAGTCACTTGATCATCTGATTCTAGTATTTTAACAGCTGTGTGATGAACACACAGGATTTACTGCACCATGTTCAGGTTCTTCAGAGCCTCCGATTGCTTCATAGAGACAAGAATCACCTGCAGAGCAGTGAGGATAAAGACGAGGTCGTATCAATCATTTGAACCACTTTGTATCAATTATAGAATCTTCTCAAGCAGATAACCAGAAATGGAAATGTTGGCATTAAAGTTAAGAAGACATTATTAAATAAATCAGGATTAAAGCTGACCATGAAGAAGAGAAGCGTAATGTCCGTCTTTAGTTTCACCCTGGTTGATCATGTGGTCTGTAGCTGGGCTCTGATTGGTCCTCTGAGACCTTGTGGGTCCAAAACATGAAGTAAATACAGAGGATTTAATGAGGAACATGTAAAGTCCTGCTGCCATGTTCAGAGTGAGAGAAGAGAGGCTTGTACCAACCTGCTGAGGCTGGAAGCTGCAAGAAAAAGGTTTCACATTGATCATTAATTAGTGTGTGTAATAATATCTGTGACTTTGACTTATTTCAGTGAAATCAGTCTGATATCAGAAGGAAAAGATCTCACCTTCTGACTTTCTGTAGCGACGCAGAAACAGCAGCAGGAGAATAATCAGTAAAACTCCAGAAACCAGACCAACAACCAACGGCACGAGAAACACAGAGCTTGATGCTGCTTCTTCAGGATCTACACACAAGTACACACCAACCATGAAGAGATACACAAGTAACAATAATAATACAGTGTTTTTACTGAACATGAACATCTTTAAAACTATATTGTCTCACACAAACAAATAGTTTATCTTAAGATAACTTCTAATTCAGTGACACCTTTTCTCACTCAGACTGTAACACATGTTACAAAACTCGTACTCACATTTCACTGACAACCAGCTCTCTGCTGAGGTCAAAGTCTCCAAACCTTGAGGTGATTTCCTTCCTCTACATTTATAAAAGCCTTCATCTGACTTAGTAACTGCAGAGATAAGCAGCTCCCCTCTGGCAGGATTTGGGATGAGTTTGTCATTTTTATAGAAATCCACATTATAAAGAAGGTTTTCTGTCCTCAACTTGCAGCCAAGAGTGACGGAATGTCCCTCAGTCACAGGACGGACAGGACTCACCAGGATGACATCACCACCTGTAAAGAGACCAGAGGACAGGAAGTCAAACAAGCTGATGAACAATGAGGAGAAGACATTTATAGTTTACATTTGTTATTCACATTCACACAGTAGCTGAGCGAATAGCTGCATTTCATGGATTAACTTGTTCCCAGTCGCGTCATAGAATGTATGTCTTACTTAAGAGACACACATTGCTTAAATACACTGGGAAGGTGCAGGTGATTGGACACCGGTGGAAACAATCAGGCACACGGCAGACAATCACAGGGGAAGACAGGAAACTACTAAATAAAACAGGAAACAAAGCCAAACGGTGACAGTCATCAGTCCGTCCAGTTCACACGCTGGTCTCAGGTGCCGTTGGTCTCTCTATCAATTTACCCTCAACCTGTCTGCATGTTTTTGTTTTCCTCTGCCCTTCAGCGTCAGACCCTCGTTGGACCACAGAATGCACCGTTATCAGTTCAGCGGACTCTGCTTAAGGTGTCAGACCTCTGCTCAATCCGACTCCAGACCGCGAGATGTCGGTGGAGTTTCCCTCCCGACTCCAGTAGAGCCTGAGGAGCTCCTCATGTTCTTCTTTGCCTTGTTTTATTCTCTTCACAATTTGGTTGGTGAATAAAATCAGGTGATTGAACTAGAGCTGCTGTGAGTGTGTATTTGGATCCACCGACTACACCACCCAACAGAAAGATGCTGCAACAAACTAAGATTGTTGAGTCGTTTGTTGAAATAAATATTGAGTTAAACTCATCATGAAGTCACCTTAAAAATGTCAGCACTCTGTAATAAGATGTAAATACTTTAGATATAAAAACCTTTAAATGAATATAAACTCACTGTGTAAAGTGATGTTGGCTGCATTGCTGAACTGTGTTACAGACTCACACCAGTACACTCCACTACTCGCTCTAGTGGTGTTGCATGTGGATCCAGTCATTTCTCCCCAGTAAAAACATGATGACACGTAACCATATTCATCAGCCTTCATCACTCTCCACTCAGCAGAGTTTCCCTCACAGATCAGTGACAGTGACTCTGTGCTGAAGTGCTGCAGTCTGTGAGGACTCACTGTGAGAGACGCTGCTGGATTCACACCTGAAGACACATCATTAGGAGACACACACAGGACAAACAATGTCAACACAACAAGGACATTTATTCCCTTGTGCAAGAATATAAAAGTCTGAACAAACTCACCTCCAGACCAGACAAACTTCACATCACTATACTGAGTGTAAGACACAGGATCTGCTCTTCCAGCTCTGCACTTATATCCTGCTGTGTGTGTCTGTCCATGAAGAATGTAGGAATCCTGTTCAGTCCCAGTGGTGCCACCAGCTAGAAGCTCATAGGTGTAGTAGGATGACATGTCTGGAACAGCCTTATACCAGAAGAACCTCCATCCTGCAGACGGAGGTCCAACACTGCAGGTCAGAGTCACTGAGTCTTCAGGACTCGTCCATGATGGAGACACTGTGAGGACAGGCTGAGGGACCCCTGTTGGAAAGAGGTTTGACAGAATAAAGACGTGTTATGATGAGTCCTTGGTGGATTACTGTCACTGCTGATGTCCTCCATCTTTTTATCTGTCTTCATGTGTTAAACAGGTGTTTGGGTTCAATGTCTTTAAACATAGTAACTAATCTCACATTTCAAATATTCTATTTCAGATACTTTGTCCTTAAATCTGCACTTGTAAGAGCTCCCATCAGACATCAGAGAAATGGTGATTTCATGTGTGTGTTGATGGTTGGTGTCCATCTCAATAAGTGTTTTGTCTTTGTAGAAGTCAGCATTCTTCTCCTTTCTCTGGTCTCCATGTCGACAGTGAAGAGTCACTGATTCTCCTTCATACAAGGAGGACGTAGGAGTTGATGTCAGGAGGAGGATGTCAGCGGTTATGTTACGGATTTAAGTAGAAGTGCACACCTAGTGATAAATTATAGTACAAGTAGAAATGTTTAGTCTAGAATTGTATAGTGTGTTATGTTAGATATTAGTCCATCCATCCATTGTCAAACCGCTTATCCTGCACACAGGGTCGCGGGGGGGCTGGAGTCCATCCCAGCCAACTTCGGGCGACAGTTGGATATTAGTTATTACATTAAACTATCCTGATAGCGTTTTGATCTGTATTGTAGTTATTACTTTGACTTTCATTGACTGTTTCCCTTTCAGATCCAGTAGTTTACTTTGCGTTGCTGATTTCAGTTGACAATTCAAACTTTTTGTAGGTTCCATCAGTTTGGACTTAATTTACATGATTTGCAGTTTCCTCATGTCAGTGACAGAGTAACTCCTAGGTCAGAAGGGACCGCTCAGAGGCTTGTTTAGAGTACTTCAGGTTGCATGATGGCTGCGCTTACGACTCAGGAATTGCTGGGTAGGGCCAGAGAGTGGATGGAGGATCAGACGGAGGCCAAGGACAGAGAAAGGGAGTGGAGTAGGATGAAGAGATATTTGGAAAGATGGCAGGTGTGTTAATCTGTGAGATTAAGCCTATTCATTAAGTTTCAGTGCAGAAAACAGCAGTGCTTCATTGATCTAGCAAAGCATAAGGGAGCACTGTCTTATTACCTTTCCTAGACTTAACCTGTACTGGGACTATGGGAAGTTTACATTCTTCCTCACCAGCCCCAGTGGGTGAAGACAGGCGCAAGGTGTGGAGGGAGACTGAGGCAGCAAGAAACCAAGAAACCACCACGGCTCATGTGGGAGCAGCCGTTTAGATAGAATGAGTAATAAGAGAGCCCTCAAAAAAGAGGATAAGAGATGTGTCTGCACCAAGCGGCTGGCAGAGGACGTGGAAACCAAAGGGGAAGAGGAGATGAATGCTACTTATGCGGACAGAATGGTCATTGATCTAGAATATGTCCAACTAACATGCCGTTCAGTGCAGCTCCTCCACGGCCTTCCCGTCCAATGCAGGCAGAACCAGAGGGTCCAGCTCACCTCCACCCCTCATGCAAACCCCAAAGCAGACGAGGCCCTAAACAACTAACTGGTGTCACACAGACCCCCACTGCTTTGCATTACATTGACAGTCATTTAGCAGACGCTTTTATCCAAAGTGACTTACATTACACTTTAAACCTTTTCACATTTTTGCCCAGGGAGCAATTAGGGGTTAGGTGTTTGCTCAGGGACACTTTGACATGGAACATGGGGCAGCCTGGACTCGAACCACCAACCTTGTGCTTCCCAGCACACCTTCTCTAACTCCTGCGCAAGTAGTACACACTTCCATTTGGATTCACTAACCATGAGGGGTTGGTGATTTATCAGTGATGAATGAAGCTATTACTTCAAGGTTAGGATGGACAAAGAAAAGACGTGGAACCGTCATACAGCACCATTCGAATGAGTCCTACAGACGAAAAGGAAAGATGACATTGAGCGGGGAATTAAGGAAACATTTGTATTCATTTTTTCCTGATTTGACTATGGGGGTCAATAATCAGTTAGATAGATTTGAATCTTTATAAATGAATTGCTCCTCAAATCGGTCGGAAACAAGGCCGCTTGAGAAAGGCATTTTACAAAACAATAAGGAGATGCAGAGGTCAAAAGGTGATGGCGACTCGTCGTCGAGGAGCGAGTAAGCAGGACTCCCTAAAACAACAACTGATAAGGAGGAATCTTGGAAGTGTTGGAGCCATAAAATCCATCCACAGGTTGTATTTCCTCTCAGAGTCACACAACCAGGTTTAAGAAGGGGCGTTGAGGGGGTTTTATGACATTATGGCAGGAGGAGGCCTGGGGCTGATCACCGAAGGCAACGTGAAGACCGGGACAGAGCAGAATATAACTAGAATATCTGCCGATTTGGAAATGATTTCATGCATTTAGAGTGTGAAACACAATCAGATGAGATGTGTAGATTCCATTGATTTACAGTAATAAGAAGAACATATAGTCTTACTATCATAGAAACAACTCCTAAATCGATCAGATGACACAAT